TGGCAGTGGGAGGCTCACACTGACAGCTGAAATTGGGGTGGAAGAGGCAGTGATTCCACTGCTGGTGCCCACTTCTGGACTGAGCGGAGATGGTGCATGTGCAGGGACGTTAGGTGCAGACACTGCTCCCACTGCCTGGCTTCCACTGGTAGCACTGATGTCATGGCTGCTCGGGAATAGAATGCGCCTGTGTTTGGGATGCAGGTGGGGCTTGCAGCTCTCTCTCTTTACCCCATCTTACTCCCCTGCCAGAAGACCTGCCACCTGCCTTTCCAGCACACTTTATATTTATCTTTCCTGTGCTGCAAAAGGGGGGGGGTGTGAATCCTTTTGTATATCTGTCTGTCTTGTTCTCCTGTGAATATCTGTGTCTATCTTGTGCTGTGAATGAAATTATTTTTGTGTCCACTCTTGTGTCTTCTTTCTGGCTCTCATAACATTATTTATCTGGTCTTGTGCTGCGAATGAAGTTATTTGCGTGTTCCTGTGTCTCGATATATTATCTGTGTCTTGCTCTTCTGTAAATATCTGTCTTGTCTTTTTCTGCTGTGATTTTTTTTTTCCTGTATTCTGGGTCTCTGTGCATGTACGTGTGCATGCCTGCAAGCAAGCAATCTGTGCTTCCCTGCAGTGATAGATAACACTGGCTGGGAAAATACAACTGTATTTTTGTAGTTTCCAAAACAAGTTCCCAAAAAAATAATTCAAAGAAATAAATCCAATTGTAATACTACTAATAACTGAATTGAATAGCTAAGCTAAACTAGCTTTAAGCTAAGTTAAGCTGAATCCTAACCACTCCTTTACAACATGAAAAAGCAGCAGACAGGTCTCAGTCGCAGCGTTCCTCTCTCACAGCTGCTGACAGGGAATGAGCTGCAAAAGGCACAGAAGGGCTGGAAACAGGGGCTTTTATACTTTTTTTTTAGTCCCACCCCACAGACGCTGCCATTGAAAAGGTAGCCAGGAAGAAATCCTTCTCACTGGCTACCTACAGAGGTCAGTCTTCCCCGCTCCCATTCTCCATCCCTCCCCCGTTCCCCCTCCCTCTTCTAATTCCTTCAAAATGGCCGAAGCGGCTCCAAAGCATCTGAAGCGGGCCCAAAGCACTTTGGATGCCCCTGACCTGTTCCAGACACCATTGCTGGTATCCCGCTTTAACCCGGAAGTGCCACTTCGGATGCTGGAGCATCCGATGCGGGTCCAGATCCTAAGTGGGATCCAAAGACTCGCACAGTCCTAGTAAATATGATATTAAAGAATGTCAGCATGGGTAATATCTACTAAAGTATATGATGACCGTAGCACCTCTGAAGTCAAGAAGACATGCCCCCTTGAATACTAAAAACTGCTAGATGAAACAGAAACTTCTATATTGCACTGTAGCATTACATGGTATCTCTTAGTCCCCCAACATCCTACAGCATTCCACTCCCCACTTCCCTGGGGAGGGAGAGCAGGGAGGAACAATCAACTGAGTGTTGCAGTTTCCCCAGCTTCTGATAGGGGGAGAACTCCTACCTCTACAGGAGACAGCAGGCTGTCAGGGGCTCAGTAACTGACACCTCAACCCTCATCGGGGTGGAGAGCAGAGGTGCAGGGTCACACTACCCCCGATCACACTCTTTGGTAATAAATAATAAATAACATATTGCTGAGTCTCTCCCTCTCTCTCCCCACACCCTTCTCCTTCCTAGAGAGCCCTTTCCAAAAAAGTGTCACTTTAGCAAAGTTGTCTATGAAACATTTTGACTTAAAAGCTGATTCTCAACCAGGGGCAATGCATAGCGGGTGCACTGGTGCACCCCCCGTCAGGCTACGCTCCCTGTTTAGCAGGCGGGCAGGCAGGAGCACCAGTGTCCTCCTTGTGAGCACCAGCCGGTAGGCAGGATCAGCCACCAGGGGACACCCCACCCCCAGGTTGCTGACTGGTTTTTGGGGGGGGGGGGCACGGGCCCCCCTGACTCTACAGGCACAAGATATCCACGTTCTCAACACTAATTGCTTGAAAATATTCTCAAAAGCTTTATTAGCTATGAAATATTGAAAGCAAATCTTTGCAGTCAATATGCTGATGGACTCCCTTTACTATTGATAATAATGCTTGTTTGCTTCCATACTTTTTTCAAACACAAAGCTAAAAATAGCCAATATCAAAATCTTTCTGACCTTGAAAAGGCAGAAAGTGAATGTCATACTCACCCTCTGTTAAAATCTGCTTCAAGAAGGATTGTTTAAAAAAGCTCCAAGTTAACCTAGCTTCATTCCAGTTAACAAAGGTCTGGGAGAAAAAAAGGGAAAAGGAAAGGTAAATTGCAATTTAATCATTGGTGTTCAGTGTAAGGGTTAGAACTGCAAGATAAGATACAATTACATTGTTCAGGTCATCTCTAAGGCAACTCCAGCTACTCAGAGTTATTGCACATATCAGGAAACTCTCTTTTTACCCCAAATGACTATTCTAAAATACTTCTGAATCCAAGTACAGACTTAATAGTCCAGTGATATTGGTCTTCATTGTGCCTAATCCCATAGAATCAAATATAATGAGAATGACTGAAAGCTATTCTTGCAAATAACTGAAGAAAATGTATAAAATTGAAGAGGTCTCTAACAAAAAAAGATCTGCATAGTAGGGCTGTGTGAAGCTTTGGTTGCTGATTCGATTCGGCAGAGATTTGGCCCTATTCAGCAGCCAAATCTTTTAATCTGAATCAAATAAGGACACCCTTTAATCTCTCCGAATCGAGTCGAAACCACCCCCTCCCGAATTGATTCGAAGAGATTTGATGATTCCGGTATATACACAGCTTTAAATGTTTTTTCTACATACCTCAAGGTACCAGACAGCTTATGAATGCTGAGATGCTGGGATAGATGAAGTATCCCGCAGGAGCGTGGGGGGGTCCCCAGCGCACTTGGTGGCAGGCCCAGAAATGGACAAGAAGCACTTCTGGTCCACTTCTGGGTCTACTACAGAGCGTGCAGGGGACCCCTCCCCCTCAGCTTGGTGACTGGTGCCTCCTTGGTCGGGGGGGTGCCCAGGGTCCCCCCATGGCCAATTGCTAATCCGGAGGGGGTGCAGCGGGGGGTCTGCCACCGAGCATGCGGGGGGGGCGCCCCTGTGCTCCTGTGGGACGCTCCATCCACCCCACCATCTCAGTGTTCACGAGCCATACCTGGTACCTCGAGTTTTGTAGAAAATACATTTAAAGCGGTGTCTATGGCCAAATCACTGATTCTCTGAATCAGCATTGAATCTTCAGGTCTGGATTCAGCCAGATCGAATCGGGACAGTGATCTGAATCAACTAATTGAATCACTGTCCCCCCGAACTGGGCTGAATCAGAATCCAAATCGAATACGACCTGCTTCGCACACCCCTACTGCATAGCACAGGGTGAGAAGGAATAGGTAGGAAGTACAGTGCAGCTGACTGCCTGATATGGGAGTATGAATGCTGTAGAATAGGATGAAGTTTTGCTTCTGCAAATATGTGCTTGCCTAGCATATAATGCTATCAATAGCGGTTACTCTAAACCTCTATTGTGAGACCTGCAGAAATATTTTAAGGAGATCTTGATGCCTTTTCTTAAAATTCAATTATTGGGTGAACTGAATTGTAAGACAACCCTGAGGAGACAATGAAAAGAAAATTATCCTCTGCAAAGTTCTAGGGCTGTGGAGCTTTGGTAGCTGATTCGATTCAGAGGAGATTCGGCCCAAATCAGGAGACCAAGTAGAAGCTCTGAATCGATTTGGAACAGCTTTGAAAAAAGACTGGGCCAATTCGGAGATAAGGCCGTAGACTAAACAGGC